CGAATGGCGCAGTTTTAAAAATGTAAAATTAAAATTGTTTATGTTTTTGTTTATTGAAACTGATCTATGCATTGTTTTACAATTATAAACATATAACCATATTCGTCAAAATTAGGGGGTTTATTTAAAAAAAAATTTTTATAGATTAATATACCCGATCTTAAAAAATTTAAAAGAGTTTGGCCGGATACTTTTCCGAGGGTAGTGTATGTTTTTAATATAGTTTCGGCTAATTTCGGGTTTCGGGGTTTTGTCGTATTCCTCACTATGTTTTAATATAGTTTCGGCTGTTTATTAATTGCCTTTTTTGAGTTTCGTCCCTCATCTTTATCCAGTACAATATCAGGAAAAACTGTTTACATATTATGCTAAAGGGTTTGAGGGATCAACTTCATAATGATTGATCTGTAGAGATCTCACTTCCATAGGTCTCATATTCAACATCACTATCACATCTGTGAGATTCTCTTGAGTAGGAATTTTAGAAACATCCATATTCTGAATCCTTTTACGCACATTTGCTAAAGAGAAATATAGTGGAGTTCTTGATCAATTATCAGCTAAATTTTGTTTAGTCCATTCTTTCTGAATTTTGTTAGAAGCTGTAGTGATATCTGGATCTTTGACAAAAGTATCAATAAGTTTATGAGCAATAACAGCCTTCTGTGATTCGTTACAAAATAGTGAGAGGCGTGAATAACCAGCGATAATTTCTTTATCACTATTGCTATTACTTCTTGGACCTAAGTCCAAATGATGAACGCAAATATTCAAAGCATTATTGATCTTAACACAATATTTTGCTTTTTCCTTTATGATGAGTTTTTTTTTCTCTTATTTAGTACGAGAACTTCTATCTGCTTTTTGCTAAATGCATTTCTATTTTCAGTACGCCTGATAAGGAGATCTTTAATATACTTGCGAGCCTTCCAATCATGCAATTGAACATTAAGTTCTGAAACATGTTCTTTTAACTTCTAAGGTGAAGTCAGCTGACAAATTATACTTTTAGAAACTGTTCTAAAATTGAAATAAAGTTATTAGTTTTAGGCTTTCAGACCTTTGAAGCAGTTACTTTAATAGACATGCCAATGATAAATAGATTGCGATTATTACCTAGTTATACTAATCTAATTTTTTAATTCGAAAAAATTCCTTAATCAAACGTTAAAGCAAAGGAATTTTGAATATCTATAATAAAAGTGAAGATGAAGTTTTGAGATTATTAATATTAAAATTACCTCGTATAGATCATCTATCTTATCAATACATCAAGAGAAATGTTTCGATTTGTAGGAAAGGATGTTGGCATGCTTTAAGATATGCCAGACATTATAAAGCTTATTCTAAAACAATATGCCTTATCTGTAATGAAAAAACCTATTCTGATACTGGAATCTGTAATACACATAGTGAAATTTATAAGAATACCTGATGTGAAGGTAAAAAAAAATAAAATGAATCAGATATGGGTCAAGACACCTAGCTTAAATGCTGAATAATAGGCTGAAGTACTATTTTTCCTATCCTATAGAATCAAAGAATTCCTGAATCTCGTTATCTATTTTTAGCTTATATGGTAAAAGCTCAGAAGCACTTTTATCTCCAAAATCAGTACCGTTATATGGCTGACGATTAATTTTGTATGAATATTCCCAAACCTGCTTTTGTCTAGAACCTATTCTTTTTTTGTCACTTTTAATAGTATATCCACACCAATTGCTAGCAATTGCATTAATTGTTTATATAGCCAATTTAAGGTCTGATATTTTTATTACACGAGACTTAAAACCAAAGAGTAATAAAGATTGGTTTCAGATTTCTATAAATCTTTCACAAGATCATGTCAATGATTCTGATGCAGTATCACCAGAAAGAATACACCTGTCATCAATGCCAGTAAAGCCTAATACTTGAAAGAGTTCCCTTATAACCTTCCAATGATTTGCTGAATAAGATTTATGCAAGTCTTCTGCTACAGATTTTTCAAAATTATTTTTAGCTTTAAAACAAGTATCTTCCTACTGTGCAAAATCTTTAGCAACTAAACCTTCTATTACACTATCTTCATCATATCCTTATCTCTGAAGGTAAGATAAACGTAAAAAATGTTTCTGAGGTTCAGGTGGGCTAAAACGTTCTATGAACTTCTTTTTGCAAAGATTATCCCAGTCATCATTACTCATATATTTACAGCTATAAATATTTCGCATGTAGAATTATTTAAGTGCCATAGTATCTGTGATAGAGCATTCTTGATCAAACTTAAGATTTTCAGCTTCTTCAGGAATAAGGTTCTGGAAAATAGCAATTGTATTGAAATCTGTTTCTTTGATAACAAATGTTTCAATCCTAATCTCATTGCAGACCCTTTTGTGGTTCTCTATAACTCCTCAACTCTCATCCATTTTTATAAGTTGGAAAAAAGCACCTGTACTGACTATGAGACTACAAAGTTTTTAATAAAATATCTTGCAGAAAAACGTTTTTAATGCTGACTTCAATGAAAGTTATTATGGCTGGAGACTCATTTACATTATAAGAAATGATATTATTATTCTATTTATGATGTTCCTTTATTACTGTGGATAAATTATTAGGCTAAGCATTTGCAAGTTCTGCCTGAATATTTTCATGACCTGGTAGACAAAAAAGTTCATTAGAATTTTTCTGATAAAATATAGAAATAATGCAATAAGGATAATCATGAATTCGGTAAAGCATTTGTGTAAGAGTCTCAACATGAACTGGAGTGACAATATTTATAATAGCTATAACTATATCAAAGTGGCCTGTAACTTCGAATGATATTCCAGCCTCTATGGTATTTGTATAGGCTATGCAGTCAAGCTTATCTTAAGCAATATTAATATCAGAGAAGTCTTTTTGTCTCTGCTTTCCATCCATATTTCTATAGTATGCATGGGCTCTAATAGGCAAATTATCAGGTTTAGATAATTTAGACGCTTTTTCCACTAAGTCACTGCTCCAGTAGATACGAATACTATGCATTTGCCTTGTTTCAAAAGATCATATCTTATTTGCATAACTTCAGCTCCACTATTTGGATCATAAATAAACTCAACTGTCTTGCCTATATGAGGCTGGTATTTATTATCGACTATATGAATATTTTTATCACGATAAACCTGGAGAAAAGTTAGTATTAATGTATTTGCGAAAGCATCTATAGCCAAAATGTATCTCACAGATCTTAATACAATACATATTGCATTTTCAGATTCTCGTGCATTTATATCGCTAGATATTTGATGTATAATAATATTGACTTCATCAAGAATAGCTACAAATGAATGGGCTGTGAACTCTATACAGAAAAGTCTTTCAACCTGAATTATGATAATATCCCACTCATTTATAGATAAGTCTCCTTGTATATTTGGTAATTGCAAATTCAAAAACCAGAAGCTTTTAGCTCATCAAGTTTCATTTTTGATTCATTGCTAAGAGATTTTCGATAAGAAACCCAGATATAACTTGGTAAAGAAAAGATATCATGCATTTTATTCTTCAACGCCATAATAATTTCTCTTAACGTAGTGGTTTTCCATGTCCCAGGAGGAAAACAAATAAGTGTTATTATTTATTCAGTACTCAAGAAATTAGGATACACTTCTGGAACATCCCTTAATTTTTCTACATTAATCATTGTCTCTGATAATCTTATAAAAAGACGTGGATTTAATATAGCATCACCTATTCTTTCGACTATTTCTCTTTTAGGTTTTGCAGAAATTTCAGTTGCTTTTCCAAATACTAATTTCTTATGATCTGGTTTATAGTTTTTTTGCCAATAACATTGAGTATAAAGCATCTGTTACTCTGAAGGAACCATATAACTGATCTTTTTCGTATATAATTTTACAAATAGGACATGCTTGATATGATTATGCTTGAAAATGAACAAATCCATTTCCAATCTTTCTGATCTCAAGCCATTTATATTTTGCAATAACTTAATTAGCTTCTTTGCTCAAGACAGATTCATCTTTAATAGGCTAAAATTTTACTTCTTCCTTCTCAGAAGAAAAGGTTCATGGCCAGATTTCAGAACAATAAAATTTGGGTTGAACTAAATAATCCTCTAACTTGTGATACCCTTTCTTAACTGAAAAAATTACAGGCCTTTTAATTCTATCTTCTTTTGCTGATCCAAGAAGCCAAAGACTAAAGCGTGATTTATAAAGTTCTATATCAATAAACTTAGAGTATGATTTTCCAACCCTATCAGCAACTTTTTTACAAAATTCCTGAGATCTCTATAGTCAATAAAGTGGGTATCAGAACATACAATATGCCAACTGCATTTATTATCATTAGACGAACTAGTTAAAGTAAATACATCTAATGTTATGAGATGTTTTAAATCAGAGTATAAAATATCAGCATAGGTAATTAAGATTCTGGATAATAAATCATCATGAGAAATTTTATATTTATCTAAGGAAGGAAGTTCAGGATTCATGGGATCGGGCTTCTGCTTCGCATCAATGTTTAGAATAAGATGAAGAAGCAGGTTACTATACATGAAGTCTAAATGAAAACCCAAAAGTCGAAATGTTTCAACTTTAGAGGTCAAAGTCGAAATGAAAAGTTAAAATAGTCGAAATTACGTCATATCACATAATTTTTTATATATAGAAAAATTAAAAAAAAACAAAAGACATATAATCTCGATCAATATCACACCAATTCGTATAAAATAACTACCATTCGATTTCTTGCGACTAGACAAATCCAATGAGCTAATATTTATTATTTTTGGATCAGCACATCTCGAGATATTCGCAATCGTATTTCAAAATCCAGACTTCTTTATTTAAAGTAGAATTTATTGATTCATAATTTCGGCCGATTATACAATTTCGATTAACTCGTGATTGGATGATTCAAAATCAATGAATGTTAGCTCATTGGATCCGTCAAGTCGCAAGGAATCAAATAGTAATTGTATCATACGAATCGGAGCGATATTGACCGAGATCATACATTTTTTGTTTATTGTTTTTTCTAAATATGAAAAATCATGTGATATGATGTTATTTCGACTATTTCGTGACTTTAGCCTTCAATAGTCAAAATGATTTTGACCATTTCAACTTCATGTATACAGGTTACCATCAATACATTTATGAGAATCAGATAATCCATAAATCTCAGAAGGATGATCAACTAATGTAAAACCCTTTTCAGATACTTGAATGATATATTTATCAAAAATCTCTTTAGGATAATAAGAGCCTAAAGGAATGATATCATCTTTACTATTAGTTTCTAATAAATGTTGAAAATATATATGATCATTATAGCTAAAGATGGAAACTGTAATTAATATGTTGCAACTTTTAATGTTGCAACTTACATTACAATTAGTTTTAACCTATATATGTTGCAACTTATAATATTGCAACGTATGTTGCAACTAATTTTAGCTTATGTTGCAACATTTTGTAAATTTGAAATCAATTGCTGTACCATCTTTAATTATAGTTCAGCTCAAAATCAAGGTCTGCTAAACCTGAAAAGAACCTTATTGCTTCATTTATTTCTTTAAGATTAGGTTCAAAATTTTTTTGTGCAAGTAGCATGATAGATATGTAAAGGAAGTTAATATAAAATTACATAGAAAAATCCCAAATCTTCAAAATTTCTATTTTGAGCGAATATGATTATTAGCAAAATACTAGGCCAGTAGTGGTATACAAAAGTAGTCAATGTGGTAATACCCAAAAGTAATACCCAAAAGCAATTAGTGCAGTAATATCTTAAAATATCCCAGAATAGTAATTATATGAGAAAGAATTCCAGGAATGTAAGGGTGAAAAATAAAGTATAAATTTGGTAATATCTACGGGTAGAATAATATATAGTAAATAAAATAGAAAATTATGCTTATAGATACTACCGGCAATAAGTAGAAAAGAGGTCAAAAATGCAAAAAGGCTCAGGAGAATACATAAAAAAAGGGTATAAAAGCTGTAAATTCTGAACCAATTCTGCACTTTGTGCCTCATTCTCAGCAATCAAACAGGTTATAAAAGGTGGGATTGCAAGAATGGTACAATATAACACTTCACATGTGCCTCACCGGCAATCAAAAAGTAGGTGAATAGATTGTAATATATCTTTAGCAATAGATGGATTGTAAATTCAGCACTTCATGTCTCATCTGGCAATCAAGAAATGGCAATTGAGAGGAAAGCAACTATGTGAGGGTGTTCTGATACCAGAACAGTATCATATGAATATAACGCAGTAAGATACAGTATTAATTCGCTTATTTTTGGCCAACACCATTCCATAAATTTGGCCAGAAGTCTGGATATAATAATTCAGCACTTAAGCTAGCATAAAACTGGTGAACTAATAGAACTTCTTTGGTATCCTGCCAGTTTTATGACAGTTCCAGAAGAATTCTATAACACTACAAGGACGCTATCATGATGCTATTATAACACCAAATTAGATCCTCAAATCACATGCCAAAAAAATCAGCCAGAGTTATATCATAGAGCTGACAAAAATTAATTGCAAATCCACTATGCTATCTGACACATTTTTTTATCATAATTTGGCATTTTAACAGGCAATCAAGCAGACGCAAAAGGTAAGCACATCAATATAGAATCGAGAACCTATTCAGACACAGAAGGCCAGTACTCTTAACATAATACCAGATATCCAAACAGTTACAGAAGGCCAATGACCTCCAAAATAGAATTTGACATTCATTCAAGCATAGGAGGTCAATACTAATCGGATATCTACAAGGTAATAAAAAGGCCACAAAATAATGAAAACAAGCGGATAACTACAAGACAATAAAAAGGTCACAGAGCACTGATAATTGTAAGAAGGTAATAATTTACTCATAATTAGATAACAATTTAATGCAAGTAGGTTGCAATATATATATATATTACAACCTACTATATTAGTGTAAGCAAATATTGCAAAATCAAAATATAACCATTTATATTTTTTGAATGTATCAACATATTATATATAATTAAAAATTCAAAGCTCAATGTAAGCAAAACTTTATTTATTATGAAAAATCAATATCTTATGATTATTAGATACAAATTTTATTTTATTTATAACAAAATATTATATCATACTCTTTTAATATTTATATTTTTTTATAACTATTATGGTTAAAAATCTAAATTTTGTTTGCCTTGAAAATTAAATATTTATACAAAATTTTATTATTAATTAAATGAAAAAATATTTTCAAATAGTTTTTTTCATCTCAAATTTTAAAATAAATGTAAAAATTATTATTTAAAATGTTGATTTTTATCAATTTGTTAGTGATCAAATACTTTTTACTGAAAAGTATAGGTCTCATATCTATAATATTACTATTATATAAATTAGTAATAATTGATAATAATAAGACTATTGTTAAGATTCATGTTAATTATAGAAACTAATTTTATTTACTTAAAATATTTTTGTATCTATCATAATAATCTATAAAAATTTCTTTCAGGTCAATGTTATCTACTATCAATAATGTTCTTTTTACTTTTTTAACTATTAATTCAACTATTTCTCTTAAATAATTTTTTAAATCTGAGTTAATTCAAATAATTGTATTAGTATAATAATGAATCTATAGATACTTTTAGTTGTAATGTATCACTAGTTATAAAATACTTTCTATAATTCTTTTTATTTATTTTGCCTGTTATCGATTTTTTATCCTATAGATTGGATTATGTTTTTACTTCTAGCTGAGTCTAATTGTTCACTTTGCTTTAGCAGATATATTTGTTGTTCAGTTATCTGTTATCATCATATGAATCTGATTTTTCTTTTTCATGAAATCTTAAATGTTTTTAGTATTTTTCTGAGCTGAAATTATTGCATTATCTTGAATTTTATTATTATACCAAAGATTTTAAATATTAATCTTAATATTTTAAATTTTATGTATATTAAATTGAAAAATTTTAATTTATTATCAAATAGTAATCAAATTATATATCCTTAACAAAAAAAAGAATAAATGTAGTTAATATTCTCAAATATATAATTGTTATTGATTTTCATTATAAGTCAGCTAGTTTGCCAAGTAGGCTTCAATATAAGATAAACTAGTAGATTATCTATATCTTGACTGATCAGTATTAAGTAAGACTAGTAGACTTAAACATTAAACAAACAAATAGATTGCTTAATGTCTTAACACTGATTTTGTGAATTAAATAAAAAAACATGAAAAAATTAACTTGTTATATTTATTTATAAGTAATTGTACCTTGTATTTTTTATCTTCTTGTTTATTTTGAATAATATATTTAATATATTTAAGATACTTTAGTGGAACGCATTAATAGGACGCATTAATATATTAATATATTAATGCGTCCTATTAATGCGTCCCACTTGTATAAGATTAATA